GCTCCCATGGTAGGGCCTTCACACTTCCATTCTTTAGGAATAGAAGGCTTCCCCCGCCCCCTTCGGGTATCTTCATGACTAGATCGCTTACTCTCTTTAGGTCTTTACTCAAAAGTTGACCTCATAACTGGATGGAGACTAGCGGGAGGGGAGGTGCTGTTTACAGTAGATATTTAACCCAAGAGACTGGATGAGATCAATTGAAGTATTTTTTAACTATATATTCTGAAGGAATTATTCATTCACAGGAAATTGCAAAAACAATACAGTGAGGACCCATGTACACTTCAGGCAACTTCCCCAATGGTAGTAGCATCTTGCGTAACTATAACATAATATCAAAACCAAGAAATGGACAATAGGAACACATCTACAGACTTTATTCAGATTTCACTGACTCCACATGCACGCCTTTGCACGTGCACACGTGTGTGTGTATGTAGTCCTATGCAATTTTATCACATGCATTTGTGGAACCACCTCTACTATCAAGATAACAAGTGAAAAAAAGAACGGAATTGTTCCATCACCTCAAGGATCCCTTGGGCTGTTCACATCTGTTTCCCTCCCCTAACCCTCTTCTCCCATCCTTAATCCCTGGCAACCACTGATCTGTTCTCCATATCTACAATTCTGTCATTTTGAGAATGTTATATAAATGAAATTATACAGAATGTAACCTTTTGAGATGGGCTTTTTTTCACTCAGCATAATTCTCTTGAGATCCGTCCAAACTGTTGCGCGTGTCAATAGTTTGTTCCTTTTTATTGCTTGAGCAATATTCCTTGGCATGGATGTACCACATTTTTTAAAAACATTTGCCCATTGAACATGTGGATTGTTTCAGTTTTTTTGGCTATTACAAATAAAGCTGCTATGAGCATTTGTAAACATGTTTTTGTGTGGACGTAAGTCTTCTTATTTCTGAAGTGTGTTTGAGCAAATGGACTGGTGTACCTTGTCTGCCTCTGAAGGAAATGAATAAAGTGCACTACAGGCCTTAACTTAGGGACAAATTCCTTAAAAATACAGCTTACCGAAACAGATACAAGATGAAAAGGAAATTGAAATAACTCTTGTATTCGTTATCTTTTGTCACATGACAAATTACCCTCAAACTCAGGGGCTTAACACAACAATTAATTATCTCTCACTTTCTGCAGGTCAGGAGTCTGCGCGTGACTTTGATGGGTCCTCTGTTTTGGGTCTCTCACAGGCTGCATTCTAGGTGTTGGCTGGCACTGCAGTCATCTCAACAGCTCACCTGGGGAAAGGTCTGCTTCCAAGCTCACTCCCCCGACTGTGGGCAGGATTCAGCCCCTCCCAAAGTGTTGGAATGAAGGCCTTGGGCTTTTTTGTTTTTTAAAAAAATATATCTTTATCGATTTCAGAGAGAGGAAAGGATAGGGGGAGAGAGAGAGAGAGAAACATCAGTGATGAGAGAGAGTCACTGATAGACTGCCTCCTGCACACCCCCAACTGAGGATTGAGCCTGCAACCCGGGCATGTGCCCTGACCGGGAATCAAACCGCGATCTCCTGGATCCTAGGTAGATGCTCAACCGCTGGGCCACGCCCAGCTGGTCAAGGCCTCAGTTTTTTGTTAGCCGAAAGCTGCCCTCAGTTCCCTGCCATACGAACTTCTCTGAAGGGCAGCTCACAATCGGTGTGGTAGCTTGGCTCAACCAAGCAGCAAGCAAGAGGAGCCCAAGATGGGGGACTGGAGAGAGAGAAAGAGTTATAAAGAAATCAAAATCTTTTATAACCTAATCTAGGAAGCAACATCCCATCGCTTTTAAGTCACTAGGTCCAGTTCATACTCAAGGCCTGATAAAGCTCCCAAAGACCCCTGCCTCCTGGTATCAATGCCCACATGTAATCCCTCTCTCAGTGTGGACTAGACACTACTTTATCTCCAGTGGGGGGAAAGAAACCACACAGCGGATTATGTAGGAAAAGTTTAATAGAATCATTAAATTACTTAATCATTATTACTTATTTAAATCTAATAAATGAGTGACTATGAGATAAATTCCATATGGTCCCCTACGCCTTAGGGAGTGTACCTAAGGAAAGACAAACTTGGAAATGGGCCCACTTACCAAGACTGGGGTTCAGACCTCATTGGAGAAGGTGGAGTTCAACCCACTGGACAGCAGAGAAGTTTGCTGGCCTTCCCAGGCTGGAACTGGTTGCTGGCAAGCAGACAGCAAGTCTCTGGGCCACAGGAGCTGCACAGGCCCCTGAGAAGGTAACTAGTACCAGAGCAGAGAAGAAGCCTTTGGGTGCCAATGCAGGCAGGAGGCCTTTGGAAGCCAGTGGGAGGAGGAAGCCTTCAGGGCACCGATTTCCCTGTTGAGAGGGTCATGGAAAAATTATTGCTGAGCCAGACTAGGGTTTCAAGGTCATCAAGGGACCAAGTGTACTGGACCCACATGGCTGGGGAAAATCTCCACGGAATGTCCTTAAGCCATACCACCCATCGCTGCCCCTCCAATGCCCTCTATTGAGAAAGCTTATTCTGCTCACTGCAAAGCACAGATGCTTAATGGAATTCTGTTCATTATTGCAAAGCAAGAAGGGTGAATTGGGAGCTGAGGCAATGAATTGTTTATTGAGACAGGAGCCATTAGAAGCTGCCATAGCCCTCTATCTACTAAAGAAAGTGAATTCATTATGAAAACCTTCCCACAGAAAACTCTGGGTCCAGATGGTGTCACAGGTGAATTCTATTAAACATTTAAAGAAGAAGAAACACCAATTTATAGAAACTCAGAAAATGGAGGAAGAGGGAATTTCCTAACTAGTTTTATTAGGCCAGTATAGCCCTGGCACCAATACTTGACAACGACATTACAAACACCCCCCACACACAAAATTACAGATCAATATTTTTGGAACAGAATAGATAATACTTTCAGATGATTAAAAAGTACACATATAAAGTTATTTATAAAACGTCTCCCACTCCTGACTCTCTTCTGTCCTTCAAAGGTAACTTACTTTCTTATATATGTGTTTTCAATGATTTTCTTTATGCACATATAAGCAAATATTTGTTCATGTTTTTATGCAAAAGACAGAAAACTAATACATAATGTTCTTCACCTTGCTTTAGGAAAAAACACACCTAAATAATATATTCATGCAAGTATATTTATAAAATGAACTTCCCGGAGTGGCATTGCTGGTTAAACATATGTTTTTGCAATATTGACAGATATTTCTCAATTGCCATCCATAAGAGTTGCATCAATTTACACTCTTACCAGCAGCATATTCCCCAGTGTAGCTGTTATCAAACTTTTTGATTTTTAACAACCTGAACAGTGAAAATGGTATCTGAGAGGATTTTTGGGGGGAGGAAAACATATTAGTATGCTATAGAAAGAAAGCCTGAATATGCAGGGTGGGGGGGATGGGAACGTTACTGCAGGAGCTGAGTCCTTTACAAGGCTGGAGGGGTAGGATCCACTGCGCTGGTGACTCATTTAATAGGTACAGATAGGGGGCTGTTGGTACATTTTGAGGATGGACTCAAATGCAAATGTCTTTTGATTGCTTCTATTTTTCAGGTGATCTAGGAATCAAGGTCATAAACTGAGCTAGGAGAGAGAAGGGACTGTTGAAGATCTGAGAGAAGAGACGTGTGGATTGCTCCTCTTAGAGTCGGAGAGTGGGGGCGAGTATTAGGACTGTTGGGCAGTACTGAGGATTGCAGCCTTAAAGTGAATTTTGAAGGACAAGAAACCAGCATGGATGAAGAAGACCTCTGCTTCGGGGAGCTGTGAGTAAAAAAACACACACAGCAATGCATTCATCTAGTGCTGATTTAAGAAATATTTATGGGGAATCTCCTATGAAGAAGCACTGTTGCTGGGCACTGCCTTGTCACTTAAAGCAGGTCACAAGCATATTTAAGTCAGCTGCTCATGCAAAGAATAATACAGAAAGTCATGGATCTCTTTAGTGAATTGTTCTTAAATTTGGTGACAGGGGAGGGTTCTGACTCTTGATAGCTTGAATAAACAGCTTCTCAGAAAAAATATGCATATATACAAATCTGCCGATAATTTCAGGTGGTCGTAGAACCATAAATTAAGAATCTCTTAAATTAAGAGCCCTATATTAAACAGTATTATCATTTTAGTATATTCTGAATGATTCCATTTACACAAAGTTTTCTTTGAAATCCCGCGTGGTGTGTACTGGACACCTCAATAAGGACTCAGAAATAATTTTAGGTTTTGAAAAAGTTGCAAAAGTAGTGTAAAGTTGCCCTACACTTTTTAACCCTTAGATTATTAACATCTCACATAACCCGTAGTACAATCATCAGAACTATCGATACAAGACTATTATTAAATAGACCTTATTCAAATTGCCAGCTGTCCCATCCAAGTCCTTTTCCTGTCCTAGGATGCAATCCAGGATTGCGCACTGCGTCTAGTTATCATCAACCTGGCTTTATTTATTTTTGAAACTTTAATGGAAGAGCTGTGTGTTCTTGGGCAAAGTACTTAATGTCTCTGATGCTGTCTTAATAGACGTGATGTGATTAAGAACAATAAAAAATATACACGGCCGTGCGGGTGGCTCGGTCGGGGCGTGCTCCCACACATTCCGGGCAGGGCACGTGCCTGGGCTGCAGCTCCATCGGGTCTGGGCGCGTTCGGGAGGCAACCGAGGGATGTTTCCTTCTCTTACTCTCTTCCCTCTCTGTCTCTCTCAAATCAATAAAAACACAACCTCGGGTGAGAAGTGAATCTGTATATGGAATAGTTTAGGAAACTTCAAGGGTAACTAACTAAAATTATTTCTATTGTTCAAGGCTGGGGATATATAACGCAGCTTTTTGTTATAATTACAAAACAAAGCAAACGGGAGCGTATTACTAGCGCCGAGGTGTTTTGTCCCAAAGTCGGCCCCGTAGCTTCTCCTCCGTCTGGGCGAGGCCTCCTCTAATTGGGCTGCGTGGATCTGCCCTGACACAGGAAGGCCGTGCCATTGGTCCGCGCGGTCGGGACTCGGGCGGCTGTTGTCGGGGTTCAAGGCGCTGGCCGGCTTCTCTTCCTCCGGCAGAGAGCTCCCTTTCTCCCGAAGTGCCCGGAGCTGCCACCCGAAGGGATCCGGACCGAGCGAGGCCGCGGAACTGCACTGAGGTCGGCGGGAAAGAGGCGGGTGGGTTGCGGGTGGCGGGCGAGCCGGCTTTGTCCGAGCGTCCTTTCGACCCCCGTGGTCTCCGCGATTTCCCCGCCCCGCCTCCTCCGCCGGCTCCACCTCCATGGGGCTCCCACAAAGGTTCCGCGAGCCCCTCCGCGAGCCCCTCCATGGGCCCCGCCTTCCCCGCAAACCCTGCCGCTGGCCCCGCCCTGTCCTCTAACCTTCTGCTGGCCCCGCCGTCGCCCCGCCCTCTTCAGATGCCCCGCCTCCTCCGCCGGCTCCACCTCCATGGGGTTCC